AGAGTCTATTTCCCTATTTTATTGTAAATATTGTGTAATTCATATTATACATCACTTTTTTTAAGTATTGTTTTAAGGGTCCAAATTAGCAATCTAAATTGGCTAAATTGGTAAAATGATAGTCCTACAATGAGTTGAGGTAGGGTTCTACTCATATCCCATGTGACCAACTAATTATGGGCTAAATTGTTACCCCATCCAATTAGTTTGGACTCAGTAAACAAAAGCATACTGTTTAGCCCTCAACTTTTAAAATTGAGTAATTGGCTCTTTATGCTTTTAAGTAGATGTAAGGGTCATTTGTTTTGGAATTTTGGAGATAGCTGATAGCTATTGGGCCTTAATTAACTAAATATGAGTGTTTGTCAAAAAGTTCTTGTTGGCTATTAGCAATCAACAAAGTATCATTAAAGCCTTCAATAGTTGCATTTTTCAACAATTACACTAGATGGCTATTGAATCCATAAGCATTAGTGATTTAAATTTTTATTTGTTCATTCACTTATATGCCCTTAACTTCACCCATCAAAATCTCCTCTAACAAGATTCTTAAAGTGCTTTGAATTTCTTTGAATTTGAACAAACTACAACCATGATTGGTTTTCTTGCCATACTAAATCTCATTGAGGATTGAAAAAATCTCATGAATTTTAACTATCAAACATGAAACAAAAATGTCAATTGAGAAATTTTTATCCCACTAAAGAGTTTAATTGATATTGGGCAAGCCAATTGGAGGCTTATTAAGAGATTTTTATCTTACTAGAGAGCTCAATCGATTTTGGGCAAGTTGATCGAAGGCTTACAATCTTGTTACTTGTGATCAAAATCTATTGTTTTACAATTTGGGTAACGCTTCATTTAGAAATCTATTATTTCCTTATTTATGTGGTTGCTCGTTTTAGTATTCCAATTGCTCTTTTTTTTTTGCCCAATTTGTGTCTGCTTTGTTTGGTGGGCAAGAAATAGTTCAAAAACTAATGTGGGATTTTATAAAGGTTTATCTCTACCTATACCATCCTAACTTGGTTTAATTTAGTTATTTGCTTATACCATCCTAACTTAGTTTAATTTAATTGTTTGCTTAGTCTCTATACAGTTTGATAATGACTTTTTTAATATTGCTTGTTTAGATAATAGTCTCTCTATCTTTTTTATTTTTTCTTCACTTTTGACCAATTTAAATGTGAGTTATTTAGATAATTTTGATTTACATTATATTATGGTATAATCACTAGCTGCTATGTAAAATTATAGTCCCTTTTTTTTTTTTATGATTTCACAAAACACAAACAAGAAACTAGAAATTTAATGGTGCTCTTGTCCACTAATGTTTTCTTAAAATTGTGTTTTAAAATACTAGTTTTTGGTGCATGGTGGTGTATCTAGTCACTGTTGAAGGAGTAGGATAATAATTTTTTTTCCTCTCAAAA